TGTGTGTGTGTGTGTGTATGTGTGTGTGTATATATATATATATATATAAAATAGATACAAAAGGAAAACAAATAAACAAACTGTAGAGAAAAGATATAAAAAAAAATTTATAAAATAAAAACTTACTGTTCATAAAACTCTTCATTTTGAATGAATTTCTATGAGACGTAGGTCTCACGATGTCCAAGAATCTTATACACTTAATGTCAATGCATATTTCCTCATCAAGATATGAGATATGAGGTTTCGAAGATGTATGAGAAGATGCGCTGTAGAAAATAGAAAATATGTACGTAAATAGACATTAAAAAAAATACATAACGTATAAAATGTATAATCAAAATTTTATAAAAATTGAATAAACTTACTGTCTCTCACACCTCCTGTTGAATTGAAACGTAATATATAGTTCATAGTGTAAGATGTTTTCAAGGATGATATATACTCTGATACAGTAAAAGCAATCTGCTCTATGCAATCTCTAGGAGCGATTGTCCACAGAGCGATTGATGTAATAAAACTTATGTATCATAAGTTTTCTTTTTTTAAATAGTGATCCCCACAAATTTTCAGAAACTTCGCATTCCACTGAATCCTCAGCGTATGTAGTGAACCAACTGACTGAATCAGTAATGTCGCCATAAGTCTCACTAATTAGTGTTCACAATTTCACATTTTCCAGGAACATATTGTATTATAACAAGTTCTACAATCAGAAAGATTTCAAAGATCCACATAAAAAAAAGCAATTGCAGGGATCAAATAAACAAAATGACACATAATCATTGCTGGATTCATATTTTATAGTTTGTAACATAATTTGTCTGTATTTGTATTGAAAGTGACCCGATTAAGGTCCAAATCTTTGTAACGGATTGCTCAATTATATTAGTATTAATTATTTAACTTTTAAATGATAATGTTAAAAAAAATTTATACATACGTTCATTCGTACATACAATATGTACGTGTGTACTTAATGTGCATACGTACATATTTAATTTAATTTAATTTTTAATTTAATTTATTTGTGCATTATTTACAAAATAACAAAAAACATGACGACTACAGAGAGTAAACGAGAAAAAATTAAATGTAAGGTGCAAAAATGAGACACCAGCAAAGTCTCTCTAACTCCTACCAGAAAATGAGAATAAAGAATTACAGTATAAAAAGCGCCAAAGCGAAAATAATAAAACATAAATTTACAATAGTCATATTACATAGTCCGAAAGTTGGATTATAAAAACGTAACATGACATAGCATAAATTTAAGATACATTAATATTGAAAACTGAATACAAGACTGAATATAGTAGTAGTGAACAAGTAATAAATCGGTAGCATACAATAGCAGTGCTCGAAAGCTGAGAGATGACGCAGATGCGAGAGAGAACGTCTGCGATCATAAGAGATTCAATGCTTCGCAATAAATACGCAATATCGAATACACATACATACGTAAGTATTGGATCATCCGGAAAGTTCGTGCCGACTAAAATTTAAATTTTAGTATATATTTATTAAATTAAAATTTTCTGCGTTTCAATTTTCCTTCAATATCGGCACTTTCCGAACGACTTAATACTTACCCAATACTTTCCCAATACTTAATGTGCATGCATACGTTTATACATACATATGTTTATAAAAATACGAAAGGCATAGCAAAACATCATCAGGTTTATATAATCCATTAACCAGACTGAATGATCCTATGTGTATGTAAACAGCGATAGCGTGACCTTTCAGCGTCTTCCCCCTCTCTTTTCCTGTGCCTATGAGTATCCCCTCTAATCCTATGAATTAGAATTCGCCTGTTAGCCTTACCCGTAACGTATACAACAAAATAATGGATTATGTTACAAATATTAATTATAGTAACTCATGTAGTGCGAACTAGAGTTTTCTGTGTAACAAATATTCAGTTCACATAGCTTATCTTAATCTTTCAATGTTTTTCGGCGTATATCTTATCTAACTTTTTTTTAGGATTAATCTTCACAACTTTGAAGACTGATTATTATAAATAAAATAAAAATAAAATTGAAATCGTTGAATATTATTACACGTAACGCGAAGTATTAGTTACGCAAAGATTTCGAAATAGTGAGTTCACGAAATATTGTGAACTCAGTGTGGTTTACAACTCAGTGTGGTTTACAACAATTTTTTTTGCAAATATTATCAATTTATGTAAGTAATAATTTCTCTCACTTATGAAAATATTTTTATATACATATTTTTTGTAATATAAGAGAATATATTGAATTTTTCATTTGATAAAAATTATTATTGTAAAAAATAAATAGATATAGTATAAATATAGAATACAAAAAAAAATTTCATTTAAAACACAATAATATTATATTTTGTTCTTAAAGTTAAAAATATCTATTTTCTGGAACTCTAATTTAAAATATTTTTTAACAATTTACAAAAAACAAGCAGTTTTAAACAAAAAATACTTTCGAAATTTTTGTTCATTCTATTGTGTAATATTTTTTTATTAACAAAAATATATACATTTGCTTGTTACTATTATATTCCTGAATTTCGATTTAAAAAAATGATTACAATATGTTTATTTTTGTAAAAATTATAAATAAAATTTATTGAGTATACGCGATACTTATATGAATCGTTTTTAAAAAGTCCAGAGACGCTAAAATATCTCGAAAACAGTCGACTATAGCAAAATATATGTAAAAAGCAGTTATACTAAATGAAATGTACTGATGATAATAGTTCTACTTTGGGTGGAGTCACACAAAATGATCAATGAAGGTCAATTTGAATTTTTTAAATGGAACCCTCCATGTTTAATTGTTACTCTTATTTTCATTTTTACTAAAAATAAAAATAAAAATAAAAATCATATCCTTTAAGCTTTCGTATAAATTTAGATAATGATATATTTGTCAAATTCTAAAAAAAAGATTTTATCTATCAGACACTTTAGATTAGATAATACAAATGTCGGCGGTGTATTGTAATTTTCAAACCTCATAATCCGAAATGTACTT